ACCATTTTTTTATTTTTTAGTTTTTATAATTGTTTAATCCTTATGTTGTAATAATAGTTTGTTGAATTTGAGAGGTGACGGCAAAGTTTTACCCGAGAATATAGTTAATAATATAATGTACAGTATTGTTCTGTACAGTACAGCACAGATTTAAAGTCAAGTACTGCTCTAAAAATTTGTTAGACTAACCAGTCATGAATCCTAACAATTTGCATGCCTCTTGTACCTAACAAAATTGTGTTTTTTTTTTTTAGTATATTTTGTTGAATTTATATTATTGGGGAATCCTGATTATCTGAACTAATTGTGACCAGACCTTGGTTGATTCATACAGAGATTTGAATGACCTGTCATCTGAGAACAATATTACTGTATTGTACTGTATTTGAATGAATTTGAGAGTAGGAGAGAGAGGGAGAAAGGCTAAGAAGATTGGCAGACATGGTGGGTGAGTGTAAGAATGTGTAGCAATTGAGTGTTAACAGTAAACAACATGTGGTGGTGAACAGTTTGTTCACCACCACTAGGTGGCAGCAGTTTGTAAATATGGAGTAAATATTTTTGTTGCATAGTATATGACAGTTTACAAGGAGCATTTTACAGCTAGTCCACTTTAGGAGAGGCGAGTTACTCTGGATGATCTGCTGTAATGTGGTGGTGCCTGTGTGTGTGTGAAAGCTTGTAATGTAAGGCTTGTAATGTCTAAGATAGGATAAATAGATCAAATTTTGAAGCCCTTTCTCTTTACTGCTCTCTGAGCTAATTTTTCACACCATAAAATTAAAAGATGGAGCAATTCTGGTGATAAATTGTGGCCATAATGTGCAGTATTCTACGAGTAAATCTGTGCCTTCAATACAAGGTCTGGGACATAATACAGTAGAGTACTGTATGTGGAATAGTTCTTCTAATTCACACTTGTAGTTAAGTCTAACATTTTAATGATATAATTATTTTTAAATGTTAGAACTCGCATAATTAACATGATCATATAAAAAAAATATATATATATACAGTATATATATATGAAACATGGTTGAATTGCAATAGAACATGGGTGTGTTGAAAACATATCAGCATAGATTATCAGTGTAAGATTAGCAACCAGTTATTTTGTATTATGAAGATGCAGGGTTTGTAGCACCACAGTATTCATATGGAAGAGTAGGATAATGATAAGTGGGAGGTGCAGGAGGTCAGGATAAAGATAAGTGGGAGGTGGAGAAGGCCAGGATGATGATAAATGAGAGGTGGAGAATGCCAGGATAATAATAAATGGGAGGTGAAGGAAGCCAGGATAACAGTAAATTGGAGGGGGAGAAAGCAAGGATAATGCCAAATGGGAGGTAGAGGATGCCATAACTAGAAACATGTTAACATTTGGGCTTTGTGTTGTCTTGTAGGCTAACTGCTTTGCTTATAGAGAAATGAGCAATCAAACTAAAGCTACAAAAATCGTATAAAATCCAAGAGAGGCAGAGAAAGAGCAAAAGGCCATTAGTGACAGAGCGGAATCCAAAGCACTTTTCCTCCTATGAATCTATAACAGAAACTACATCTAGCATTGGGACCTTGTGCTAGGGAATTGGGACCTTCGCAGAAAACAACAGAAATAATTGAAATACTGAGGATACATATTTGGAGGCCTCGTAGCCTGGTGGATAGCGCGCAGGACTCATAATTCTGTGGCGCGGGTTCGATTCCCGCACGACGCAGAAACAAATGGGCAAAGTTTCTTTCACCCTGAATGCCCCTGTTACCTAGCAGTAAATAGGTACCTGGGAGTTAGTCAGCTGTCACGGGCTGCTTCCTGGGGGTTAAGGCCTTGTCGAGGACCGGGCCGCGGGGGCACTAAAGCCCCGAAATCATCTCAAGATAAGATACAGTGCAATTAAATTTTCAGTGAACCCCTGATCATGCAGAAGATTGATAATCCAAATGAATTCTTCATGAATGTAATACCAACATCGAGTTGTATATAAAATGTTACCCTAACCCTGCATGCACTCTGTACCAGGCCCAGATTTCTGGAATTCCATATTCACCAAGAATTGTTGAAAACTACCATCACAGGTAACATCATTTGAACATTATTAATTAACATCATCATTATTAACAGGACAAACATCATTTGGAGATGGAGCTTAGATACTGGTATTGTCTCCAACACTTAAAACAGCAGACAATGCCAGTCCATAAAGGAGGAAGGAAATAAAGCAGAGGCAAAAACTTATAGACCGATAGCACTAACATCTCATCATAAAAACTTTAAAGAGAGCTAAGAAGTAATATCACAAAACTCATGGAATCATTGTTTATATAACCCTGGACAATGTGGGTTGAGAACAGGGTGTTCTCCTGCTTCTCATAATTATTACACCATTATAACCTGGCCATAGTTGTCATGGTAGATAAACAAAATACTGATGGAAGGAAAATATACATGGATTTCATGAGACTTTTGACAAGTGCACCCAAGGTGTGTTATTGCACACAAAATGTGCACAAAAGGAATTACTGGCAAAGTAGAAAGGTTAATCTTTAATTTTCCTAATGAACAGAGCCAATGTGTAATACAATAAAACCAAACAATAAAGTAAAATCTGTGTTAGCTACCATGAAAAGCTCCGTTCCCCAGGTTATTGTGCTTGCTCCAAGACTTTATTTCAACTGAGTATCAGACATAGATAAGTGTATAAACTAGTACCTTATCGGCCTTTGCTGATGACTCTAGGATTTTTGAGAGTGGACAATATAGAGAACTCAGCAAACCTTCGAACTGACGTAAATGGGCCACAGAAAATATGATGTTTAATAAAGGTAAGTTCCAGCTCCTGTGCTATGAAAAAAAAAACGAAAATATCAAGACAGAAATAACATGTAAACTGTAGCAAATCATACTACAGTATAGAATGAAAAAGCAATATAAAAGGTTTAGAACTAATCATGTTGAAAGACCTTACTTTTAAAGAATACTGTACTACAGTAATGTAACTGTTACAACTGCAAGAAAAACGACAGAACAAGAACCTTTCAAACAAGAGATTTCAGACCATTGAAGCTTAAAGATGCTAGTACTCTGTAGGGTGGAGTATTATTGCACAATAATAGCTCCATTTAAAACTGGAAAATTACTGACCTGAAAAATGTGCAGTGATCTTTTACTACATGAATCCACTCGATTAAGCATTTTAATTATTGGGACTGCTTAAAATAAAAAATATATGAATTCTTTAGAGAGCAGGCAAGAGACAATAATTTACACTTGGGGACTATTACAGGAACTGGTTCCAAACTTGCTCATGGAAATAACACCACAAGAGACTAGGAGACATGGCAGGAAGTGCAAAATTGCCCAATTGAAAAGCAAAGGTGTAATAGTTATTCTGATAGAGAATTCTATCAACATCAATTGCTCAAGATTTTTCAATACTCTCTCGCTAAATATTATGGACATAACTAGCCAACCTTTCATGGTGTTCAAAGATAACCAGTAAACACGTCCAAAGGATACCTGATCAAATGTGCTATGATTTATGTCAGGCTGCGGGCATCTGTTTCGAACAGCCTGGTTGACCAGGTCGCCAACCAGGAGGCCTGGTCAGAAACCGCACTGCGTTGATCCTCAGAACCAGTGCAAGGTAAGGTAAATACAGTATTATGTACACTTTACAGTTACATTGTAACATTTTTCTTTTCTTTTTATAGTTGGAGCATATGATAATGCCACATTTTCAGTTACAGAAAATAAAGATAATGTATGCTGATTTGTTATGAACTACTCGATTAAAATCTATTAAAGTTGTTTAGAAAGACGTCATTTAATTTGATGAAACTTCAATACAACACTACAAATTTGCAAGGAAATTCAATTGAAAGAAATGATCATTTAAGATATTTGTCAGGGAAATATACAGTATCCATGCCTCTGGAGAAGCAAGATTTGCTAACATATCTCGGGTAAACACTTTGGCGAATTTATTATTTGATAACCTTATTAATTTGTGAACTGGTGTCTTACAAGAAAATTAAGTAAAAAAGTATTTAATGGTAATTCTCATTTGTTAGTGATTTTATACTGTCCTTTATTTAGTAGATATACTGAATATATTGTTACACTATTTTATTTGTTTTATTTGTTTGGCATGAGATAGTTGTGTTATGAGTGCGGATGTGTGTTAATACTGGCACCAACTGATCCAGCAGCAGCAGCAGCAGCATGTTCTTACTATAGTTGCCTCTTTACAGTCACTGCTTCATATATTTTGAACCAGTTTATTTTTATATAAATGTTGCATGCCACACAAACCCTATAATGTAGTGTATGTTTATGTGTGTATTATATTCAAGAGTAGAATTAATTGTTAAACCTTTTGTCATATTTCTTATACATGTCAGTCAATTAAGTTTGCATACTGGCCAGTCTAAAATGACACCATAATTTGACCAAGGTGAACCTTTGCTTAGAGCTGCATTCTCCCACTATTTTAAAATTATTGCTTTTAGTTTCATGATTTATATTTGTTCTCTCCAAAATGAGGCATATGTATATTGCATAGTAATGTGTTTTGACATTGTAATTTGCTAGGAAGGATATTTAATAAAACATGACATTCCATTTATTGTAAAGTATTTAAAATATTGTGTTGTCTTGCCTTTTTAACTAGACAACCAAACAACTACATCATCATATTTCAGAGTTTTAGATGTACATAAAGTTTGAATAATTACAGTATTGCTGAATCTTTTGTCTTAAAAGTTTCACTGAGATAAAGGTTATTATAAATCATTAAGTATTTAGTTTTACCAAGTTTTCCCATATCCAAGTACGGTAGTGTAATTCACGATTGCTGCCTTTCTCGTAAAATGAATATTAAGTGGCACGACAGAAAATCATTTCTGTACAGCAATAATGTTTTAGAAAGTTTCTTTTATGCTATTTAGTAAGAAAAGTCTTGAGTAAATTGATCTTAATTCCACGTAAACTATTTCTCCAACAGCAGCCGCTACCCTCCCACTTACCTGCCCCCCCATGTGTCCCCCCTCGTCTCTCGAAGGATCGTGGAACAGAACAGATCAACAGCAAACACCAGCAGCAACAGCAGTCAGCAGTGCCAGCCAGGAGCACTACCCACCTCTAGTAGCAGTATACCCCCTCCCTCCGTTAGTCTCACTACCCCTCACTACAGGTAATTCTGACCACCCTTCTCTACACTACTCTTCTACCAGTGTCAGACACAAGGAAGACGGGCTTTAAATTTCTTAACTTGTCCTGCATTTAACATTAAATCTGATGTATAATGTACTAAATATTAATTTTATTGCCAGTTACAATGTGACAATCACATTTCTTGAACCAAAAATATTAATGTCTCTCACACCTTCCTCTCTCCTACCAATCTCTGGCACACTGATGTTGCTTAGTACTTTTGATTTCTTCTTTATATTCATTACTGTAAGTAGTGGTAATGTCTTCTCACAGACATAATTACACAGGAGAAAAACTCACACTTTTGTATTTGTGAAATTTATGTAAAGACTTACACGAAGTCTTTACATAATTTTCACAAATACTTAAGTGTGGGTTTTTATCCTAAATTCATTACAGTATCTTTCATTACCCATTGTCTCAGGTACACTCAGGAAGCCTACTACAACAGCCGACCCTACTACACTCCAGAACCACAGCGTAGAATACTCCCCCGTTTGGGAAACCCCTGACCCCCAAGAACATGCTCCAAAGAGGCACACCAAGCCTGTGAGCCTCATTTTCTCAGCAGCCACAAGCGCACAGGATAGAAGCCTCTGGACCAGGCTCTGTCAACTTTTGGAGAGTGGCCGCCAGCAGCTAGTCATTGCAGTCATAGCATGGATCAACACCTTACTCGTCTCGTGTGTCCAACAACTTGCCGATGACGTATAGATTATATTTGCACTTGCCTGTGACTAGGTTCTGACTAGCCAGCAATAATACTTTTTGAGTTGTCATAATAATTTACAAATATTTTTGTGTCCTCAGGAGTGGCACTTTCATTTATATTAACTTGTTTTTATAACTATGTGCCATTATATTAAATTACCAGTTTTAGTATTTTGTATGTTAAATATCAAATAATAGTACTGCTGGGTGGTCAATAAGTCCTCTTGTGTCATTTTTATAAGACTGCAACAATAATCATGTTTATGTGAATCAAACAAGTTTTTGTGCTCAGGGGAAATCACCGGATATATTGATACCATTGTGTGTATTATAATCTGGTGTAAGTAATGCCTGAAATAGGACCTCCTGTTGTGAAGGCCTTACTCAGATAAAAAAAACACCTAGTTGAATGCTACAGGCAGTTCTGCAACTTGTTCACGAGTTAATATGTTGCTCATCATGCTTATGAAAGCCTGAATATACATGGCATTACACTATTGTACTTTATTCATTTAGTTTGAAGGAGTTTAATGAAATTTGAAAAGAAAATTGTCAGGAAATGCCGTTGTTTTCCTTGGAGGAAGTTAAATAAAACTGATTGTTTGACAAACTGCTGCAAGATTGGTGTTGACAAGTTACTTAAGCTTTCACTTGGAGCACCGTCTTAAGCAGTGGAAATTTTGATTCAGATGTCAGTCACTTGGTGCATATGCACATTTAATGAGTGACAAGTGTAATACAAGTTTATTGCAACATTTCTGACATTGGTTACAAAATGTGATCAAATGATGAATTGATGGCTTTGATGAAACTTACGTCATTAGGGACAAACTGTTTTTTTAAATTGCTAGCACATGCTCATGAATGTTTTCCTACACACATTCATTTTCTGCCACTAACATGTTTCTCTCTCTCTGACACTGAGATACATGCGCGCACACACACACACGTGCACACACACACATATATGTACGTACGTATATAAAATGGGTCGAATACCTGGAAAGAAATGGCATAAAAAATGTACACATCATGGTCTTCAAGGAGAGTACAATTGTGCATAACAAATTCTCTTAGTTTTTATGATAGAGCTACAGAGATCCTGCAAGAGAGGGTTGGGCTGACTGCATCTACCTAGACTTAAAAAAATGAAGGCTTTGACAGAGTCCCTTACAAGAGGCTGTTCTGGAATCTAGAACACAAAGGCCTGCTGACTTTGATGAAAGCATTTGACAAAAAATAAAACCGATAATCAGAGTCAATGCTGTCTGGAGAAGTGACATCAGAGCAGTGTCACGAGGATAAGTTCTAGTGCCAGTAATGTTCATTGTGTAAATGATCTACCAGAGGGGATTCAGTTACATGAATATGTTGGCAAAAGATGTTGTTACTAGGGAGAGTAAAAGAGACAGATTAGTGCCTTGTCCTTCAAAATGGCCTAGACAAAATAAGTGACTAGAGCAACACATGTCAGATAAAATTCAATGTGGAAAATGCCACAATGAAATGTGGAGTAGGTGAAAATAGGCCAAAAACAACCGTGTTATGTGTAAAGATATTAAAGTACCTCAAAGAGATCCAGGGTTGATTCCAGTGAACAGATGACCACTTCAAAAGGATTGTGATAGAAGTCTAAACTACACTTGCAAACTTCAAAACTGTTTTTAAACACATGGATGGGAAAGTACTAAAAAATTATTTGTGGCATTTGAGAGACTGAAATTAGAGTATGCAGCAGTTGTATGATGTTTATATCTAAAAATCAAACCAATTAGAGAAGGTGTAAAGACATAGAATAAGTGCTATAAGGAAAGACTTGGTGTTGAACATACAAAAACTGATACTGTAGATAGCAAAAGAGAAGATATAATCACCACATATAAAATTAATACAATTGATAAGGAAGAATATTTAAAGCCTGCAACATCTAACTTAAGGAGCCACAGACTCAAGCCTAGAAAGTAAAACTGTTGAAAAAATGTCCAACAGGTCTCTCTTGTGAATAGAGGGTCATGAAGAAAGGTTGTAGGGAAGACAGAACACTGGGAGGTAGCTCTCATCCTGTAACTACATTTAGGTATTTACACACAATTATTTTTTGCACACAAACATTGTCTCACACTCATAAATACATTCAATTCTTCACATTTGGGTTTAGAGTCAGTCGGTGGAGGAAAGGGGGTTGGTGCAATGGACACTCGTTAAGCAAACAAGTTGTGGCCAGAGGTCTGCATAAACGAGTTATGGTGCCAAGGTTCACTGGCAAGATAATGTTGTGTTGACCAGACCACACACTAGAAAGTGAAGGGACGACGACGTTTCGGTCCGTTCTGGACCATTCTTAAGTCGATTGTGACATTATCATTCTCAAGATAATGTTGTGGTTTGAATGTGAAAAAATCATAATTTAGAGCAGTGAAAATGGAAACTGAAAAGTATGTGTGGTGTTCGGAGGATTGAAAAAGTAGAAATTGAAAATGTCAGAGATCGGAAAGTGCTAATCAATAAATTGCAAAACTGAGGAGTACTGTATGTGCCAAGATTGTTGGGCATGTTGAATGAATGGTTGATGAGAGACTGAGGAGTGTATTTTAGTGTATTTGAGGATAAAGAGTTAACAAGAACACTATAAAGGTGGGCATACATGATGGAGTGTGGAAGGAAATTAGGGTGAATACGAACAGTGCACACAATGCAGGAACCATGGATGCAGTGAGCATTTCCTCTCTGGATCGCCACACTAAGGTGCTGCTAGAGGAAACTGGCGGCTCTAGGGGTCTCTAGTTCTTTCAATTAGCTTGGAACCCAGCTCCTTCAAAAAACTAGCAGCACTTTTGCCCCAGGCACCAAGTGTGCCTGAGGCAATGGGGGACAGAATTGTAGTGGTGATCAAGATCCCTGTATTTACGCGACTTGGCTGCTTCTCGGTGATTGGCAGCAGCACCTGCCTGTGCAGCACTGAAGTCAACACAGGTGTTGGCTAAAGTTGAAATGCAAATGTAGTCCCAAACCAACTGTCTACCATTCTTCCAGGGGTTCACTGTGATCCCGTCTGGGCAACTGACAGGCTCATCAAAGTTGCGGGGCATTAGGTAACGGGGCTCTCTCTGCTGGACAACCAGCTGTAGTAAGGCTTCTCTTAATAATGTCATTAACTTCGCTGTGTCTTGCATGCCATCCTGTCCTTTGGCAGAGGAGGCCATACTGTCCGTATCTGTCGGCCACTGCCTCGCTGCAAATACACCTGTATTCGGTGTGAATTGGGGCAGCGAGGCGGAGAGCCACAGCAATTTGGAGGACCTGAGGTGTAAGATGTGTGCCAGTTGGTGACATTGGGGTTGCTAATAGGAAATCACCTGCATGGGGAGCTGCTACAGCTCTTTAAGTCAGGCAGTGTCTTGTGGTGTTGTCGCAGCTTCTTGGTCGACAATGGGGCGATCCCAGCTGGATTGTGTGTGTGTTTGTTTTATATATATATATATATATATATATATATATATATATATATATATATATATATATATATATATATATATATATATATATATATATATATATATATATATATATATATATATATATATATATATATATATATATATATATTTATATATATATATATATATATATATATATATATATATATATATATATAATGTCGTACCTAGTAGCCAGAACGCACTTCTCAGCCTACTATGCAAGGCCCAATTTGCCTAATAAGCCAAGTTTTCCTGAATTAATATATTTTCTTTAATTTTTTTCTTATGAAATGATAAAGCTACCCATTTCATTATGTATGAGGTCAATTTTTTTTTATTGGAGTTAAAATTAACGTAGTTATATGACCGAACCTAACCAACCCTACCTAACCTAACCTAACCTATCTTTATAGGTTAGGTAGCCGAAAAAGTTATATAAAATATATATATATGTCGTACCTAGTAGCCAGAACGCACTTCTCAGCCTACTATGCAAGGCCCGATTTGCCTAATAAGCCAAGTTTTCATGAATTAATTGTTTTTCGACTACCTAACCTAACCGAACTTTTTCTGCCACCTAACCTAACCTATAAAGATAGGTTAGGTTAGGTTAGGTAGGGCTGGTTAGGTTCGGTCATATATCTACGTTAATTTTAACTCCAATAAAAAAAATTGACCTCATATATAATGAAATGGGTAGCTTTATCATTTCATAAGAAAAAAATTAGAGAAAATATATTAATTCTGAAAAACTTGGCTTATTAGGCAAATCGGGCCTTGCATAGTAGGCTGAGAAGTGCGTTCTGGCTACTAGGTACGACATATTATATATATATATATATATATATATATATATATATATATATATATATATATATATATATATATATATATATATATATATATATATATATATATATATATATATATATATATATATATATATATATATATATATATATATATATATATATATATATATATATATATATATATATCGTACCTAATAGCCAGAACTCACTTTTTGGTCTACTATTCAAGGCCCGATTTGCCTAATAAGCCAAGTTTTCATGAATTAATTGTTTTTCGACTACCTAACCTACCTAACCTAACCTAACCTAACTTTTTCGGCTACCTAACCAAACCTAACCTATAAAGATAGGTTAGGTTAGGTTAGGTAGGGTTGGTTAGGTTCGGTCATATATCTACGTTAATTTTAACTCCAATAAAAAAAAATTGACCTCATACATAATGAAATGGGTAGCTTTATCATTTCATAAGAAAAAAATTTGAAAAAATATATTAATTCAGGAAAACTTGGCTTATTAGGCAAATCGGGCCTTGAATAGTAGGCCAAAAAGTGAGTTCTGGCTACTAGGTACGACATATATATATATATATATATATATATATATATATATATATATATATATATATATATATATATAATATAATAATGACAGTGTCAGACCACGAAGGAAGAATTGAAACAGGAATTTCCTTATGTACTTTCATATTTAATAATAAATCTTCAGAAGGAATGATTTACAAGTCAGTTGTTTGGACATATATAGGCAGGAGAGAGAGAGGTGAAGTGAAATGAGATACCGTACTGTATAATGACAAATATATGAATGGGATTAGGTGGATAGTAGTAGGCATCTGTCAATCCTGTGGGGGTTATGGCGTTGTGCCCTGGGTGTCTAGTTCTAGTCTAGTTGGATGCAAAGCCTGCTGTGGCTGTGAAGGCTAATCCAAGAATGACAGTCCCGACCGCAGCGAGCGCAGATAAACACCAAAGCGGGTGCGTCTGACAGTGTTCGAGACCACCTCTGAAGTCTATTATCCTCCGCCTGCCTCTTCAGTTCACCCTCCAATTGCTGGAGTCCCTTCTGCCCTTTGCATCTCCAGGCAGATCTGTCCGCAGCTGCTGCCTCCAAAGTGTTGAGGTCGCGTTTGCAGGCATCTTTGAAACGCAGCTGGGGTCTTGCGGTGTGTCTTATTCCCGTTGCCAGTTCTCCATATAAAAGGTCCTTCGGTATGCGGCCATCTTCCATGCGTGTGACATGTCCCAACTGTCGGATGCGTCTCTGCTTCAGGAGAGTGAACATTGAAGGGATTCCTGTTCTCTCGAGGTCTGTGTTGTTGGCGACGTGGTCTTTCCACGTGATGTCAATGATGCATCGCAAGTTCTGCATGTGGAAGGTATTGAGCCGTCTCTCCTGGCAAGAGCGCAGGGTCCAGGATTCTGAGCAGTAGAGAAGTGTATTCACCACACATGTCATGTAGACTTGCCTTGGTGTGCACTGTCAGTTTGACATTTTCCCAAACATGCTTTGTGAGCCTGGCCAGTGTTGTTGCGGTCTTTCTGATACGCCTGTTGAGCTCAGTGTCCAGGAAAAGGCTGTCTGAGATTGTGGAACCCAGGTACACAAACTCATGGACCGCCTCCAGCACATAGTCTGTGATGTTTATACAGGGTAGCTCATTGACGTCTTGTCCCATCACCTGTGTCTTCTTCAGGCTGATTGTCAGGCCGAATGCGGAACAGGCTGCAGCAAAACAACCGAGTAGCTGCTGCAGGCCTTCTGCTGTGTAATTACCTAAGTGTAGTTATAGGATGAGAGCTACACTCGTGGTGTCCCGTTTACCCAGCACTCTTTGTCATATAATGCTTTGAAACTACTGACAGTTTTGGCCTCCACCACCTTCTCACTTAACTTGTTCCAACCGTCTACCACTCTGTTTGCAAAAGTGAATTTTCTTATATTTCTTCGGCATCTTTGTTTAGTAAGTTTAAATCTATGACCTCTTGTTCTTGAAGTTCCAGATCTCAGGAAATCTTCCCTATCAATTTTATCAATTCCTATTACTATTTTGTACGTAGTGATCATATCGCCTCTTTTTCTTCTGTCTTCTAGTTTTGGCATATTTAATGCCTCTAAATTCTCCTTGTAGCTCTTGCCCTTTAATTCTGGGGGCCAATTAGTAGCATGTCTTTGTACCTTTACCAGTTTGTTGATATGGGCACCACACAATTGCTGCATATTCTAGCATTGACCTAACAAAAGTCGTGACACACCCTCAGGAAGCAGTCCGTAACAGCCATCTAACTCCTAGGTGCCTATTTACTGCTAGGTAACAGGGGCATCAGGGTGAAAGAAACTCTGCCCATTTTTGTTTCTGCCATCATCGGGGATCGAACCCGGATCCTAGGATTACGAGTTCAGAGCGCTGTCCACCCAGTTATCAGGCCTAAAAAAACACCTAAATAGAAAATCCTTTGGAGACTTGAACTAGCAATTGTGGTACCTCCTGCCGCGCTCCTCACCCCTGTACTACCACATGGTATACATGCATGGTACACAAATGTGTAATTATCTAAGTGTAGTTACAGGATGAGAGCTACGCTCGTGGTGTCCCGTCTTCCCAGCACTCTGTCATATAATGCTTTGAAATTACTGACGGTTTTGGCCTCCACCACCTTCTCACTTAACTTGTTCCAACTGTCTACCACTCTATTTACAAAAGTGAATTTTCGTATATTTCTCCGGCAGCTTTGTTTCGTTAGTTTAAATCTATGACTTC